GTGGTCCTTTTTTGATCAGCGTGTGGCTGAGAGCTCTTCGTGGCGTACTGATGGAATTGATGTTGCTACTGAAATGAACCAGTATCTAAAAGTAAAGATATTGGATAGGAATGAAGACCCAATAGTTTGGTGGAGTGAGCATGAAGCAGCGTATCCGAGTCTACATAAATTGGCAATGAAATATCTCAGCATTCCTGGTACATCCGTACCTGCAGAGCGCCTTTTCAGTAAAGCTGGGGAATTAATTTCTGCCCGAAGGAACAGACTCAAACCGAAACATGTTAACATGGTGCTATTTCTTAATAAGTACCTATAAACTGTCATTCTTGCCGTCATGATGCATTCTTATTACTATTTTTGTGAATAAGATATTGGGGTGTGGCTTTAGTTATTAAGTGGTTAATTAATTAGTATCGTATCGAAAATAATATCGATAAAGCGATATTTAATACTAAAATATCAGTATCGTATCGTTTATTTTTTATACTGTATCGCCCATCACTATTGAGCATGCTCAGATTAAAACAAAATGGCAGATTCTATATTGGCAATTTCTTCATAGAACCACCAATTGCTAATATTAATTTCTCACCAATAAATCATCTTATACGGTTTTCATTTTATTTTATACATGTGCATGTAACACCAGGGCACATGACATTATGGTGATGATCACATGACTTGTTTGCTAACTTTAAGAGCTTCTGATTTCAGTGAGGTGATCGTTTGATTGACTTTGAGATAATTCCTGATCATTCTTTGGACGACTGAATTCAAATGAGACGTGAGATATTAGACTAGGGAGCCCCCTAATTTTATTATCACCATTCCTTTCAGACCTAATGTGGTCTTTATAAATGAGTAAATTTTATGAAAATAGCTTACTTATCTGGCTGCCTCTCCTTTCTCTTCCTCAGTTCCTTGACGTTGAAGAGTTGAAGCGCTGATCCACGATAAATACTCGCTTCCGCCCACGCATTAGGGAAAACTAGGTGGGGCTGGGGCAGTCTTGAATTGAATCCCTAATGGAGGCGAAACTTATCGACCATTACCGTGGCCTTGCTCCAGAGTTGCTGTTCAAGAATTGTGTGAAGTCAAAGGTATATCATTATGGTGAAGTAAGAATGATAAAACTTGCAAGCATCGATGGCCTTGAAGGAATTATTGAAGCTGCAGCATACGTTATTGTTTTGAAGGCCAATGGTGATAATTGGTTCCTCCTCTATGAAGGAGGTGAAGAGACAGACGAGACTTTCCATAGCCTCGATACAGACCTCTCCCAGCTGTTAAACATAGATATAAAGATAACAGTGGATCTCCTCAATGTCTTCCTTCTGCAAGAGCCTGATGAGGGATTGGTTGAAAGAATGATGATAGAGGTAAGCAAGGTGTGGTACCTAAACCTCCAAAAGAGTGAGATGTTAGGTTCTGGTAGTAATACTTATGGAGTGAATGGCATTGAGGAAGTGGATGGCACTGAGGAGGTCGATGGCACTGAGGAGGTCGATGGCATATTTGAGGGAGTTGATGGCATTGAGGAGGTCGATGGGAATTATATTTGTGGCATGTCTCATCACATTCCAAGGCATATTCAAGTTACTCGGCAAGTTAGTAAGGAGGAAAGGTTGTGGGAGGAGGCATTTAGTGTCCCATTACTTGAAGACAATGCAACTCCTTCTGTCGAAAAAGCTGAAAGCCTTGCTACCAAGCTATTGATGGTTGAAGATACCAAGAGTACTCTTGAAGAAACCGATAGTGCTTCAGTTTCTCTCATTGAAGCTGTTGAACAAGAGAATAAGTCCATTGTCTTGCAGTTGTTACTGCTTGGTAGCAATCCAAACCAGCGCAGACCATTAAATGATGATACTGCTCTTCATGTTGCAGTAAGGAAAGGCAATGAAGTGATTGTAAAGTTACTACTTGCCTTTAAAGCTGATCCAAATATTGTCAACAAAAACAACGAGACTCCTTTCAACTTAGCTGAAATGCATGCAGATAGAGAAATATACAGTTTAATTGAGAAGGTAGACTCCTTGCAAACCAAAACAAGGAAATATTTTACACTAAATTCAAGTCTTCCAGCAGAGAGGACTCGGGCTGGCACTTACCTTATGAGCCTAGATGGTGGTGGAATTCGTGGGTTCAATACTACAACATTTCTCATTGCTCTGGAAGATCGCATGAAGGAACTCTCGCCTAAATGTCTCCCTATTCAATATTATTTTGATTACATAGCTGGTACTAGTTCTGGTGCTATTGCTGCCCTTATCCTCCTCTATACAAACTACTCACTTAGAATTGGACAATGTCTAGTCTATCAAATTTTGACTAAAGTTTTCACTTTAAAATCTATTGAAAAGCGCAAAAATTCAATGGAAACAAATCTTCAAAGCATATTCAAGGAAAAAACACTCGCATCTTTGAGAGGCCCACCACATGCCATAGTCACTACTACAAAGCATCCCAGAAAGCTTAGCTTGATGACAAGTTATGATGAGGGTGAAGCTGGATCAAATCAGCAAGTTTGGAAGGCAGCTCGCATGTCATCCGCTGCTCCCTTCATTTTTCCTCCAGTTGATGGCATCTATCTTGATGGTGGCCTAGTAGCAAATAATCCAACCAACGCTGCCTTGGAAGAGATTAGCCGAATTGAACAAAATTGTGAGTTCGGTTGTATATTGTCTATTGGGACAGGATTTTTTGAAAATCCAAAACTTTTTGACAACTTGGAGTATTTCTATTCAACTTTTCCTTTTGATCAACTCCGTAATCCATTTGAACTAACAAAAACCATCAAAACTTTTATTCAGAATAGTTATGGCAAAGTTAAAGAGTCAAGTGAAGAATCTGCAAAATCTCTATGTGAAACCAAAGGCTGGGAGTATCACCGCTGGTCTCCACCTCTCAATAAAAATTTAGGTTCTGCTTGTACAGAACTCGATATAATTATTGACATGATGTATCACACAGAAATGCATATTCTTCAGCATCCAGAGACAATTGATGGCATTGCTAAATGCATACTTGCAAAGAAACCAGCTAATTAGTTTGCCTAGCTAATTAGCTTGCCTATTCACACATGATTGTTAATTCTAATTGTATACAATTGCATTTTATGGTTTTATTTTTAATTGAAATAATGCTATGCTGTTTACAAAAAGGTGTGTTTATAAGTTATTACTAGTTGATGAGGTTTTGATTATGAAGACACTTGTTTTAATCAAAGATATGAGATACAGTACACCCCTTCCAGGGTGCATTCACACTATTGAGGCACTGTAGAGAAATGATTACACAATCACAAAAACTTAAGGATAAAATTTCAGCTAGGGATTTCATACTCACAACCAGTGAAACAACACCTTTAATTAACAAGATCAAATAATTAAATTTTAACGAGATTGTAGTTGTAAAAAATAATGCAACGATAAGTTATTATTTCTTCTTGTGAACTTATGTTCATCAGTCTCCCAGACAACTACTTTGTACTGCAAATGCTTGTTTGATCCAAGAGATTTTGTCATTTCTTTCCAAATAAATACAGTGACATTCTTTATAATTTTACAAAAGAGAGAAACAGAGGAAGGATATTATATCTATTAGTTGTAAATGACCAATGGAATGCATTTAAGATTGGCAATTCTATCATTGCAATGCATTGTATTGCAGTATTGGCAATTTTATATTTTGCAGCCATGTTCCATCATAGATAGTCTACTATCTATGGTTTTATTGAGCATGCTTAAGGCCTCCATACACTAGGCAACATGTTGCTAGCAACTTCTGTGGTTACTTTGATCTTGTAATCATTTTGTTCCAAAAATAGAACAGAATTCTATTCTTAGACACAAGATCAAAGTGGCCACAGAAGTTGCTAGCAACATGTTGCCTAGTGTATGGGGGCCTTTAGAATAAAGCAAAATGGCAGGTGATATTATCACTATTGCCAATTAAATAAACTTGTATTCCTGCTATAATGGTAATTGCCTCTGGTCTCTAAAGTAAGGCACATCAAGGACAATGTGGAGACTAGTAATGACTATATTTATGACTTAAATCCATTGCTTTTTATAGTTCTTGTAGATTCATTACCATTCCAGTGGATGGGCCTACTTATTAATAGTAATGATAATGATGATATGATGACAATGATAATAATTACCTTTTTTAAATTGTCACTTCAGCCAAGAGTACATAATGAGAAAGAGAGAGATGCAAATTTACAAAAAAGCAATGTACTTTTCAGACAGTTCTTTAATTAAATTATAATAAAGTCATGTGAATTTAAACTGACTTACTGTATGAGCTTTTTAATGAACACATGTACACATGTATGTTACCTAGATACACTAACCAGTGTAATTGTGACCATGTCCCTTAGGATTGCAACATTTACCATACAATGACAGATGAGGACTTAATTAAAAGTATATAAGATTGTAGTATTGATCTATTCTATATTGTACTGCATTACATGCATAGTCTGTGAGCTGCAGATATATACACCCTATTCACATAGATATTAGAGTAAATGAAAGGGATTGGCAACGGGGCGTAGCAACAGGAAATGCGGGTTGGGTCATAGATATTAGAGTAAATGAAATTTACTCTAATATCTATGGTTGGGTTACCACGTGACAACCATCAGTGTTTTGGTTGATTTCCCATCTCCTCCATTGGTGAAGTTGCTCTGGCAGGATTTCGAAGGAAATTTGTGCTGCTCCAGGATAGCGCTTGCTTTTGATATATAGCCTATTCCACATAGAATTTTTAGAGCTACCTGTAGCAAGGTTTTTATCTCCAAAAAGCCATTTTTCAACCAGTTAGAGGTACACAAAGTCGCCTGTTTTTGAAACACTTTATCGTTCATAAAACATTCAAGCTTCATTGTATCAATACACAAGTTAGCTCATTCCATAGGAGATTTCAAGCTCTTTAAGATGGTTATACTTAT